AAATAACAACCGGGATAACGGTGTGATCTGTTAGCCCTCAGTGTCATTTTCTTCGACTTATGGTGCAATCAGGTGCTTAATTCGAATTTACTTCGAATTAACATTGCACTGTCAAGTTCAACGAACGGCTTAGTTGTAGCTGGAACGTGGGTATCAGCACCAGATATGAGGAAAGCAGAGCCTTATGGTTGCTCTCATAACACTGAGATGCATAAGTGTATATTGCCTGTCCACCTAAAATTTCGTACCCGGAAAACTAGCACCGGTAAGGAAACCTCCAAACTCGAATGAGCTGCGTATTTTTTTTGCGTTTTAAACCACAGCCGTGAGCCTAAAAGTAATTCCATTTGTTGGCTCATACACTCACTCGCTCAAGCATGCGCACAGCGTTGCTAAGACTTTGTCATCCTCGAACTGTGAGAAGCCTGGGTATAGATCCAGTGAACACTGGGTCGCCATAATTGTTTTTATTTGTTTTTGTCGTGTGCGCAATTGTGTGAACTGAGCCTAACTGGGCTTGGATCTAGTGCTACGTGTGAGCACGTAGAATCAAACAGCCAGGGTGGCATGCACACACACACGCAAGCCACTGAATACTTTCGGCTCACCAGCCGACACATCTTCGGTTGTGCTCGGCTGTAACAAACGTAATGCTCACGAAACCCAACTAGCTGAGTGATAAAAACACTCTTGAGGTTCACCAGTCGGCATCCTGGTGACTGTGGGTTGTGCGAACTGAAAATCCAAGCAGCTAAACGGAAAACATGTGGTTATTGATTGCTAATTGCGGAAGTTTGAGTGTGTTCCAGGAGTACCCTACCTGTACTCTTAGGTTACAGCAAGCTCCAGTGATACCAGGTTTTGGTCGTTTCAGTTCAACTGTAAGGCAGCCGTTAAAAGCTGTATATATTATATAATCGTTCAGCTGTAGCACCATTTCGATGGCTAGCTGCCATACCACCAGAAGGAAGCACGAGGACTAGGATACTACCAGGTTGCCCAAATCTAGACTGGAGAAGTCGAGAGGCAAATATATGCATATATACATACAATTGTAGCAGTGATACTACTGATGGAAGGCATGCGAGTAGTATGTTTTCCCGTAAATCCGCTTTGCGTCTCTTGAAAAGTGAGGTCTATTACGGAACTTGTGGAGTCGCATTCGCCTGGATTTGAGCAACAGTCAATGAATATCCAGGAGATTTCATAAAGACGCATTCGAGGAGAAGATGGATACTCAGTTTCTGTAAACAAGGTGCATATGGGAGTTTTGCTTTCCGTCCAGTAGTCTTTAACTGTTCAGCTGGTATTTTCTAATAAATAACTCCACAGCGGAGGCCTTCTTCCTTTCATAGGTATATATGTTTAGCAAAACACTTGCATCTCATGATAAATACTTGTCCAAATGTGTAAGTGGTCAGTTTATGGCACCAACTTCTAAAGTATAAGCATAAAGAAAATACTGATGTGGTAGGATATGGGCATGTGAGAATTCCGTAAAAGCTCATTTGGATAGCCTCTTGACGTTGACGGAACATTCGACTGAATCCAGTGAGCTTTCTCGTTTCTGATGAATTACTGTTGAAAATCCCGTGGTAGAAGAGTGATCATAAAAGTTTGCGACTGTTCTTGCGGTTGCTTTCCCCTAGAGGGTTTGCAACTCACTTAATTTATGCACAGAATTCCAGATTTATTTCGTTATGTCTCACTAGGCGCATAGTGTGACGTACACAAGGAAGGGGAAACACTTATTGGCGTTACACACTGCCCGTAAGGTCGCTCAAAACTCTTAAAAAGCTCGCGACCACTTTCGCACTACTTGTGGCTCATAAGGTGAAACGTAAGGTCGAAGGAAACTTGGGTACTGTGCCTGCCTGATAAGTCTTAAGAGGGAAAAACCAATCCTGGAATGTCGTAGAGTTTCCAACTACCTAATGAGCAGTGCGTCACGTCTAGACAACGATGTACTATGATATCTCGAATTTCGTACCGAATGAAACACGAGGTGGCCTGGTACAGTACATTCAGTTGCTTAAAATCACCATAAATAAAGATTCAGCTTGGCTCCGGGAGAATCTCCCTTAGAACCAAATCGGTATGCAGATGAGTGTAGTTCGCTGAAAAACATGTGGTTTTCCGCGAGGGTAAAAGAAGGACGGGGAACATGAAGTCCGTTTCGTCCATTTCACATTAGAGAACGACTCAAACAACTGGAGCAGATAGTTGTTTGCTCGCGAGTTAAATGCAGATGTGGTATCGCAGTGACGTTTTTCTGGCAGTTGATATACGGTAGAGACTGTGCTTCTGGCGGATACTAGCGTTAGACATAGACCACCATGTTACGTTTCTGCTCACTGGAGGTAGCCGGATAGAATTCACACTGGAATAAGTAAGCAAGCAGATATATAAGATATGATCTGACTCTTTGGAATGAAACTTGAACAGATTGGGTATTTTCTACTTGAGAAGAGTTTGAAAGACAACTGATGATGAAGAATAATGGACTGTCGTGACCCCAATCCGGTTACAGATGTCACGGCAGTAGGTTCGATCGCGTTGGTCCCAACGGAACTGACAAATCGGGAAACATATGTGTACTCAGACTGCAGTGAACTGTTTTGTGGGTGTCACCGTTCATGTGGGTTCGTAGGGCACCGCCTTTCTACAGTCCAACAGACTTCAAGCGGATTTGCTCAGTTTGAGGTGAAATGTATCGAATGAAGAAAGAAATTCAAAGTGGACTGTCTTTTGTAGTGCTAAAGCGCCAGAGTTTGCAGTACTCCTGGTATACTGTTCATTTTGCAGTAGGCGAAGAAAATTCGGTCTCCGGTACACACGGAGGACTACGTTTGCCCGTGTATTCGATGCATCAGTAACTGATACTAAGGTGCCCAATCTCATTTGATCAGGTAATTGGTAAATGTTTCACTGACCTCGAACAATTTCCAGTACGGGTTTCATGGAAGACCCAGCCGTTTCAACTTCGAAGAGCTTTCTTCTCTGATTAGAAAAGACTCAAACATTTACTAGAGTTTGTACAGCTTCTGGTTGATTTCAACTTGTGGTGAGACTGGATCAATCGAAACATAAATCCGTCGTTCCAGAAGCACAGAAGCCAGCTGAGTTGGAACACTTGAAATTGCACTAAGCACAAAGTCAACAGCTGCTTGTTGTAGTGCTTATGTGGTTCATTTAGACTGCTCATGCTGTGATGGATCCATTGAAGAACTAACTAATCTAGTGCTGTCCCTCTGAATATTCATCGTTTCTAGTCCGGCGGGATTTGGGTGTGTTTGGGAGCCAGGAAATCATTGCTTGTTACTCTTGTTTATTTGTTAACTGTCTATGTGAACCTACGTGAACTTTTCCGTTTTATGCTTGCTGCCATTTGCTGTGGGCTGCAATGTTTGCTTCGGTCGATATTCCTCATTCATGCGACGAAAGTCGCCTAAACCAGAAAAGCCCAGCCCAACCAGAGTCAGCAGGCTTTGTAATACAAACATAATTCTTGCAAAAAAAGTAAAAGAGAGAGAAGGACTTGCTATATAGAAGGTAGACCAGGTAACTGATATTTCGGTTAGCCTCATTTTCTCACTTGCCCCCCGTGATCGATTTCAACCGTTCACATTGCACAATTTGATCAGCGTGATGGATTTTGCTACCCGAAGGACAAAGGCCAACTCTCTGGATTGAATTTCTCGGTTGCATCATTCAAAGGTCAATTTATTCAATAAATAACATGACTCGGGACTGATCGAAATCTGATGGAAATGAAACGGGTTAATCAAGCCATGTAAATACAATTTAGATTGTCTATGAAGTGATACTCAGGACAGTTCATGAGTACACAAACTTTCAGCGATATTGCACCATTTGGTGGCATTTCTGAGCCTCTGAGAGCTCCACATCCCTTTTTCACAGTTGATTTCTAGAAAACAGAGCAGTTATCACTGAAAAGTCCATTGTGATAAGCCAAGGACACGGTAAATAAGGCTGACTTACTTGTACCAAAGTTGATAAGAACACCGTCCATATGAACCTGTAGACTTCTGTCGGATGCTTGCAAACGAACAGCTGAATTAGAAGGGAAGGATTTCAAGCGTAGGAAACATGGATCAAGTGATCATCGTGGTAAAATGTGGCGAGATCAACTTCAACTACACGAAAGATGGACAAGCCGACTGCAGAACTATGCGCACATCCCTTTTCAGGCGGGCCAGACTACGTCATTGCACATGGTTTACTAGCAAGCTAGTTACTTACTCGTATATTTCCCTCATCACGGTTCTTATCCTAATTGTGTGGTTTGGTCTGCCTAGAATGAGAAGCCGGGGCAACCATTTGCACGACTTCTTCAAACATGTTGGCATATAGACATCTTGGGCAAGTGCAAATGGAAGATAGCACGGGAGAGGGTGACGTCACGTTCAGCTGCGTTGATTTTGCAGCATGTTACCTTTTTTCCTGTGCCGAACTAATTCTGACAACTTGTTGATCCCGGCAGACAGCGTTTCAAGTAACGTGAACTAGCTATGTGGCCAAACAGTTTACAAAGGCTAAAATCGTCGTTTCACAGTAAGTGAGACAGCCGTGGTTCAGTGGACGGTTTGTTTTCGGTGCTGCAAGAAAAAGTGGAACGAAAAGCCCATAATAAGTGTATGCCCACTACACAAGAAAATATAGCTGTTGCTGTTGCACCCGGCCTTTGTATCAATAAAAAAATCATTAGAAATTGACGAAAAAATCAGGTGTTCTTGGCATCAGATCAATGAAAATCTCATTGCACTGGTCCGAAGATATCCCTCCATGAGGGGAACTTAACAAATCGTGAGAGTAATTTGGGCTTTGCACGAAGTAAAGTAAGGATTTCAACTTGACACACAAATACGTATATTGGTCCTTGTCTATCTGACATCTTTTTTGCCGTTGAAACAGACGTGCATCATCGCACACTTGCAACCGATATTGAAAGATCCTTGAACGGTTCATATGGTCTACTTATGGACAACATTCTTAGAGTCGGTCGACACCAGGATTCAGTGGAAGACTTGAGAACCGTGCGCCAGACCGGAGATTTATCTGGACTAGTAGCTCAAGGCCTTGTTGAACAAGACGTGAAAGCACTCCACACGGCCGCCTATGAGTCAAGCCCCGAAAAACGCCGTTCTCTTCTCACGTAAGATTGTTTTTTCCCTGAAAGTAGCCAAGTAGATGTTTGAAAATTTATTATTGCAAAGTTGTCCACGTGTATGCAAACTTTTGTGAAGTACCACAATCTGCTCTCACCCACGGAAACTCATTATATGGCAAGACCTTCCGTAACGAAATTTCCAACTTATAAGCCATTCTGTCACGTATTTCAGCTTCTAAATAAAGTCAACCCATGTTGAATACCGAAGGGCACCAAGTATATCTTCAGAGACATGCAAGACAGCAACTGTTTGTACTGGAGCGAGAATCATGCCCTCCCACAGTGAGGCTGATGATTAGCAGTGTTGTCAATTTGCACTGGTCAACCTTTGGGAACAACAGTTCACGTCACGTAATCTAGCGTCTCCTGGAAAAATAAATTTTCTCCACTAGAGATTTGTAGATTCCGAAAAACACTAATTTCCCAAGGGATTCATGAGACCCACACAACGAATTGGAAATAGCTAAACAATTTTCAACCGTTCAGTGTGGAACTAGTGCACTTTAGGAAAGACATTTTTACAGAAATTACGAGATCTTATACTTCTATCAAGAATTAAAGCGTTGTACAGTAGTTCGAGGCTTGTCAGTGTGAACTGTTCTTAATCGAGGGATGAAACCCACACTGAAGGTTACCAGCTCTTTGCTTTCTGAAAAAAAGCGGTAATTTTGATGATACTTGAGCACATGAAAGAGGTTGTTGCAAAGTTACTACGGAATCTCGAAAGAAAACGAGTGAAACACGTCATTTAATCAACCTCGCTGCTGGTGGCACAAGTGGTCAAATCAAGCGATGAAGTGTCTAATAAAAGCTGCAAACGAGTGTGCTGGGACTACAGTAAAAGGAAAGCAATGCTAAAGTTGATATACCTAAAATGAAAACAAGTCCCTTCAGCAGCCTAATCTTCCAAATTGATAGTCCAACTTCATCCAGTGACTTCTGAGTTGTGTTCACAGAACTAGGGAGAATTGTTTGTGCCCACAAAAGAGTTCCACCTGTACGAATCTTCAAGAACCTATCAGTGGGGCTCAAAAACGTTCGCCTGATGTTCCGAGTGCAAATGACTCTTTCTATAAGAAGGGAGTGTAGTAGCCAGTCATGCTTTACTTAGTTTCCACCCACTATTGCCTCGAGGTAGTATCTCAAATTGGTCGTTTCCTTGATGGACGGGGTTACAACAGAATGAATTCAATACCACCAAAATGGCCTCTTCCAGGGAAGGGTTTGTTCCTGGGGATTATCCTCGAGGAGATAATTTATGATAGTTTGATGGACTATTGGTCCACAAAAACTTCGTTAAATGAATCTAAGCCACGAGTTTACTCAGTTCATCAAAAAGTTCCTCATTATTTGACTTCCAAACGTGGACGCAACTGTAATTCTTGGTCACCATCAAATACCCAGAACGGGTCTTTTTATTTTCCAGGCCAAAGATTCCACCAGAAGCCCAAATATTTATATCAATACTGACCAAGAGAAGCCGACTTCATATGAAGGCCATATGGGAAATGTACAAACAGGTGAGCAAGTTACGTCTTCATGTGGGATGTGAGCCTTATTCAGTTGCATCAGGTCACTCAGAAAACTTGACACATTGAGGATCCATGAAGGTGAACATCAAACCAGAAATACCTATTACACTCTACTCTACGCGTCACTGCTGGGAAGATTGTGTTAACTGCATTTGGAAGCACGTGAAGAATAAATGTTTACCATGTGCATGCCAGTCAACGGTGGTCGATAAAAGTTTTATGCGTTTGCTAATCAAACACCGCTACCAAGCAGACCAACCGTGTGTGAAATTATGGTCTACCTTTGGCAGTATTCTCTGAGTAGGCAATCAATATGTCAAGTTATGACCTGTTTCGGCCGGCGCAGTTCTCCATGCCTAATTCCGAGTGGAAGGAATCTAGAGGTGGTCGGAATTTGACACGGCAGAAGGGAACGAAGATGTTTCAAAAAGTTTGTGCGCTGTTGGTGCGGTTCACCCTTCAGCATGGGGTCCATGGGACCGTCCCTGTGCTCGGTTGAAGACATTGATCTAAATGGTGGCTACCCGATTTCAGTAGCGCTTATGTTGTCGGTTTCTATCCAGATTGTCCGAATAATTGCTGGAGGTGTAGTTACCTCAGGCACTTCTGATAGGCTAGCCCTAGGTCCCCTTCCTTGTCCGGTTTCTTTCTGGTTTTAATTAAAAGACTTCATTCAACTAAACTGACGTGGCTGTATAACAGTGAATTACCAGTGTTCTAATCACGCGTAGCTGTCAATGACGATGGTAGTGATTTGTTAAGAATGGGAAGCTTTGTCTGCATTCAAAACTCGTGTAGTCACCAACGGGTTGTTGTGTTTGTGGTGACCAACTTCTTTGTCCACATCCATCTCTACTACTCAAAGGTATGGCTATTTGCAGAGTGAACTGACTTCAATGCATTCCACTCAAACTTGTCTGTATGAATTATTGATTTACACTGAAGGCACCCAGCTTCTCAATATAATCTTCCTGCCTGTTATGACCTTTCTAAAGGGGCTTCGACCTAAGATAGGCCCAGCACATTTTTTCAGAGGCACCTCATCTAGGAGGGAAAATTAAAGTCGACCCTTGTGGTCTTACTTCTCTTTGGTTTCTCTGAATCGTAAATGTTCTATAGTTGGCACCGCAAAACCTAACTCATGAACTTGCCTGTGAGGGGTTTTCTCTCTTTTGCCACTTATACAACTGACCGTGAAAAAATGTTGCAACTGGGAATGGGATTCTACTGGTTGACCGGCATTCACATTGAGTTTTTCAAGCCCTGCAAATGAGACGAAACGAAAGCGAAATGTCACCCACCTCAATGAGGACTGGTTTCAACTATATTTATTTTCAACGGTTTTTAATTCATGCAGAAATATGGGATGAACCTTGTCATGACCATATGCGAGACGTTTTCAGAACCCCTTCGAACGGCGCTGAACACTACAGGTATGTTTTGTTTGGTGATTTTTTCTCGAAACTTTTGTTTTGGAATGACACCCCCAAGCCAGTTTGTGGATAACGGTGTTCTTCCCCTCTCAAGCCTCGTTGTGAGTGAAATTGAGCGCTCCGTTTGCACCCAACAATACTACTGTTGAGTGTAAATTAAACAACATGAGTACTGATTAGATGAGAAAGTTGTTTTGAATTCTAGTAGACCTCTGCAGAGTTTTCAGCCACCTTGTGAGTAGTATCCTTTGTGAAAGATGAACCGCGATTTCTCGAATATCGTACCAATTGAAACATGAGGCGACCTTTGTGCAGCACATTCAGTTGAAGAACATCATAAACGAGATATCCACTTAAGTCACCCTTGAAAACCAAATTGATTTGCAAATGGGTATATTTGTCGAAATCATTTCACTTTGGGTTTAAGCAGAAAATAAAGCTGGCGGGGACTATGCCTACCTGATGAGTTCCAAGAAGAGTGAAACCGGTCGTTGGCCACCGAACAGTCTTCAACAACCTTATGAATAGTGCATTACGTCTATTAGAGTAAGGTAAATTTCCTGAAAAGCCACATATCGCAAAAATCGTAGTAACAGCCAGCTTTTGTTGAACACAGAATCCTCCTCCACATTTAAAGGTCACTGTCAGACAAAGAGCACGTTTTCGTTCACCAAAGAGGACACTATGACTGTAGTTCACGCCTTGTTCACCCTGGAATTGCCACACAGCAGTTGCCCAGTCCGACTATCAATATTTTTACTCGTAGGCTATTAACAAGCATGTGCTTTATTAGAATCCATTTTCTATGACAAAGGTCTGATGAGACTAGGGAATCTACTTTATTCGGGTCCGCACTGAACTTTTTTTTACAGTATCACTGAGATGAGGCATGCTACTACTCGATCATCAGTTTCAGTCTTCAAGTCTTCCAATTTCGACAGGCTGATGAATACCCGGTCAATATCCTCCCAGAACATATAGTGGCAAGTGTTCTAGTTGGTCGTTGGTTTGTTCGCTGAGTTAGGCACTTTGATTGCAAACGTTTCATCACCAATCGAGGTGACATCATCGGTGTGTTATTGGGGGGTGTGGTGGAGTGTAGCGATCGATGGGTTGGTGGTTGTGCGTTGGTCCTTTCCACAGGAATGCTCAAGGAGAGCCAAATATCGGATTCGGAAACCAAGAAGCAAGGAACTGCTTGGAGTCGGATCAACAAAGGTCACAAGCCGGAACCCAGAGAGGTCAACAGAGGTCACTCCAGGTTCGATTAGAGCACGAGAGCAGAGGAGGCCAGGTTC